TATGACTGGAACAGCTATAGTCTCAGTGCCGAAGCTGGAACCCGCGCCTCTAGAAACCGTGGCTTGAATTTCCTGCTACCGCTGCTGTATCTGAATCGGCACAGCAGGGACAGAGACGTGAAAGCTCTGAGAGCGGGAATTGGTGAACCGAATTGAGAGCAGAGATGGCGGGGAGCCCTGCATCGACTTGCGGTGAGTGAGAGGAATGGGGACCCTTTCATAGACTAGGAGGCTCCAACAGAGGACATTCTAGGACCAGGCAGACTAGCTGGAACAGAACACTGGAGTGACTTCAGTCACATATTCCCCTCTCAAGCAGGATTGGTGGGGAGCGCTTGACCTGAGTGATGCCATGGACTAAGACCTAGGAGACCTAGCCCAAACCAGGTCCCTGTGCCTGGCAGTGCACTCTAATGAAGTGAAGCCTTCAGCAGGTTGATTGACCTGGAGGGGGCGGGCCCAGCATAGGCTGCCCAGGTCTGTATCTCCCTGGTACACTGCAGTGGGCAGGAAAACCTAGCTGGCGTGATTCAAACAAACTGTAACCGACAAAGAAAGAAACTGGGCCTCCTATATACGCTTGTATGGAAGGAACAAAAAGTATGGGAAAAGGGAGCAACAAGAAAGGGTCCTCAGGTCCCAATCCTGAGAACATTGATCCAGGAAAGGTAAATGAAAAGGAGAATGAGGACAGAAAACATGCAATATCAGGCATAGCACCAACAGACATAAAGCGTTATCTCCGAGACCTCATGGAAGAGTTCAAAAGTGAAGTATTTAACCAAGTAAAGAAAGATATAAGTAGAACAGTTAAATAAATGCTAAGCACCTCCCAAGAAAAAACAGATGGTGGAATGGATGAACAGAAAAAAAGGAGAGAATTGTTTGATGGAGAAAATAGAGAAAACATAGAATACATGAAGCAGGTTCAAAGAGATTACCAGGAAACTAAAAACTCTACTGAAAGCTGGCATAACAGCTTGAAAGAAACTAAGGACAGATTATCTGAACTGGAGGACAGATTTGTAATGTGGGAGCAGGAAAGGAAAAACTTCTTAAAAGTAACAAAGAAACAAACAGCAATAATACAAAGACTAGAAGATGATAAGAGGATCCATAACTTAAGAATTAAGAATGTAAAGAAAGAAGCAGGGATACAAACAAATGAATTGCAAAGGCTATTCACAGAAATAATCAAGGAGAACTTCCCTAATATGGGAAAAGGTAAAGATACTCAGATCTATGAGGCATACAGGACCCCAGCTACCTATAACCCAAAAAGAACTACACCTAGGCATATAATAATTAAAATTCCAGAAATCCAATATAAGAACAGAATATTAAAAGCTGTCAGAGACAAGAAACAGATCACTTACAAGGGGACACCCATCAGAATTACAGCAGATGTCTCGGCACAAACCATCAAATCACAAAGAGCGTAGGGCGAAATAATTCAAGTTTTAAAAGACAATAACTTCCAGCAAAGATTGATACATTCTGCACAACTGTCCCTAGAAATTAATGGAGAAACAAGGTGCTTCCAGGATAAAGAGGAACTTGGGAAATTTGCAACTACCAATTCAACTCTACAGAGAATACTGCAGGACATTCTAAAAGAGAAAAATACCAAGATTCCAGAAACAGTGGCAGAGGGTCCACAATGAATAGAGCAGAAAGCAAAATGAAGAAGACAAACTGACAACTAATGACAGAAAAAGAGCTCAACAGAAATGAGACAGAAAAGGTTGGATGGTATAAACAGCTATTTTGGAGAAAACAAGATATCATAATAGCTAGTGCTCATTTAACATCATCTTGTTTTCAAGTCCCATCAAGCTTTTGTTTTGTCTCCATCAGTTGTAACATATTGTATCTTATTGGATTTTATTATATGTGATAATATAAACAAAAACTTTTATAGACAAGGAGATTATACAGAAACCATTGTTCATTTTCTATTAGTTGGTTCTAAATACCTGTAAAACTGTTATTCTCTTGAATGGTTTTACCTTGTCTTGATATGTTTGATGCTACAGTTTATGAAGTTATACTCAGAGATTTCAGGAAAGAGACACTATGGTAACTACTTTTATGTTGGGATATCCTGTGATGAAATACTATTTTGCTTAAATGATTATGTTCTGACCTGTGCTGTTTTGTTATGTCCTCTTTTTTCTTGATCTCCTTTTTTTTTTTTTTTTTTTACTATTTTTAGCTTTTTAATTAAGGGAAAAAAATAAATAAAAAAAAAGCAGGATATATTATAGTAACCCACTTTGATTTCCTATTAACTTGATTTGAAACCCGTATTGCTCTCACCATCTTGTTTACTGATTTTACTCTATTTTGTTTTGCTTGACAGCACCAAGTTTGAGAGTACAGGCAACAACTGTGAAGACAATAAGATTCACTATGATGCCCATTCTGGTTTGACTATTATCTTCTTTTGAAGTCCTGTAGTGTCTCCAATGTTTTGGTTTTATTGGTTTTGTTCTTTATTGTTTTGTTCAATTTTATTATAACTGATGATATAGGCAATTCTTGTTAAGATAGCAAGAGGTATTATGGTAACCATTGCTGATCACCTTGTATTCTGTTTTTACATTATGTATTATGTCCATCCTTTTGATTTGACTGACTCTGTTTTGTTATGTCACATTTGGTTTTTTCTCTTCAAAAAAGTAATAAGAACTGTGGGAGTAATGAAACCCAAAATGTGTAATTGTCATTGTAAAAAAAGAGAGGAAAAGAAAGGGCTCTAAAGGATACAACTGCATGTATATTTAAGCGTATAAGATAGATAACCATATTATTGAGTTTTTGTTTGATCATTGAATAGAACTGTTTGTAGTCTCACTGTTTGAATGTCCACTTTATAATGCTTTAATTTTGTAACTTGAACTATTTCTAAGATGACAATATGTTATCTATTAACTAGTGGTTTCCTGCTAATTTTTTTGAAATTCTGTATAATTTGTACCCTTTTTCTGTTTTTTTCTCCTTAAATAAAATTTAAAAAAATAATAAAAAAATAAAACTATTATGCAATTATGCTTAACATTGCAATACATGTGTTTGTGAGCCATATTTAAGTCTACTAAGAGCATATTTTAGGATAAAAAAATGACAAAGCTCTTCCTTTGTATTCTGAGATGTATTAACTTTAGCTGTTGGAAGCATAATGTTCTGAGTTACTCAAGTGACTAGAGAAAAGAATATAACTCTCTTTGATTAAGGTGCTGTACCACTACCACACACGCAACCACAGAAAGAACAAAGCCAAACCATCTGTTTTTCTCTTAGGAGAATACAGGTAATGCAGTAAAGCAAGGTAACTCTACAGGCCTGTTGCCAAAATAAGGCCTGTATATGCATATACCAATGAGAGCAGGTGGGCAGTGCAATGGTTGACCAAGTCTCCAAGATATGGGGTAATGCACAATCAGAGCCATGTAGACTACTATCAAATATTTTGATGTCCCATGTCATTTTGTATAAAAGTACACATTTTTAAAAAATTAAGCCAAACTGGACTAAGCATAAGCTCATCATGTTTAATGGATAAATTACCATTTTAAACACTTATATGGGCTACGTGGAATGTTGGAATGAGTTATTAAAGACAAAACAATTACAAAATAGCAATGGCCCTTGTAGCCTGTAATCCACTGCAGTGGATAAGCACAGAAGGCCTGCTATGAGAAAAGCTAACTTAAAACACACATGCACATGTGTTCACACACACAGGGAGTTTTATACCAACTCATCCTGAGAGTCCTTGTTCACTTTGAAAATCAGCATAGTCTGGGATATTTCTAATTCTTGACTAAGAATACAATCCTAGGAGAAATAAAGCAGACTGTTTCCAACTGTTATATAAGTGTGTCACCAAACGTAAGTTCACAGCTATTTTCCTCATCAAGTTAGGTATGAAAGGGTTTTGGGTAATAGAACCAATCAATGCCTCTGACTATAAAGATAATTATCTCTGATTTGGTTGCTATAACTTTCTCCTGAGGAAAAAGTGCTACATTAGAGTAAAAGTGATTAGTAGCAAATTACACTTAGTGAACTAACAAGTGGTAAAGTGAATGCTACTGTTTTACATTAATGCCCTATCAATGATGTGTCGTTTTGTAAAAAGGAAAAGAAAAATAAGAAACATTGGATTAAAAATACGATTCAAAGAGCATAGTAATTTAAAGCCACATGGTAAGGTTCTAGACAACAGGTCAAGAAATAATCTTGGGGAAACTGGAAAATTACCATAGTTAGTTACTGTTTCATTATTCAGTTTTATTCATGCTCAGTCAGAAGTTTAGGGATGAAAAGGGGGAATAAGAGAGTTCTTCACTGCTAGGCTTCTGAAACTAAAGAGAAACTATAACTGAGTCTAGAAAATTTAGAACAATTTTTACCTAAAATTACTTCAAGTGAAAATAAAGGGTAACTTACTGAAAAGTCCTCAATTTTATTTATTTTTTATTTTCTTTTTGATTTTTTGAGACAGTGTCTCACTATGTAGTTCAGATTAGCCTTGAACTCACTATGTAGCCCAAGTTGGCCTCGGACTTGGGGCAATCTTCCTACCTCAGCCTTTCAAGTGTTGGGGTTCCACCTCAATTTTATTTGTGATTTCTGGAATTCTGACTTTTCCACTCACTCTCCAGCATATTTAAGAATTTAATAAAGATGGCATTATAAATCAGTGGCAAAAGAAAGATGTTATTACATTTGGTGGGACTTTCACTACTTGGTAACATATAAAGTAAAATATTTTAAAGGTAAATAAAGTAAGTTCTCATTTCAAATCAAAACCTACAATGACTTCTTAACAGATTGTCCTTAAACTTATTACAGAAAGAGAAAAAGAGACAGGATAATAAAGAATGAGAACAAAAAGTAAAAAACCATGAAATTATGATGCTGATTTACTTCCCAGCAAGAAATCTAAGAGTATTAATAGAAGCAGGATGATAAGCATCTGAGCTAATTCTTACATGTTCTTCCCACACTTTCTTTTCTCTTTCGTATGCTTCCTTTCTCTTCCGCTCTAGTTGTTCTTTTAGTACAGCAGCACGTGCATTTTTCTGGGCCTGAAAATAAATATAATCAACAAAATTAGTTATTAAAAAGAGGCCACATGGCCCCAGATCTTTGAATGTATTGACTTATTAGCCAACAAAAAAGAGTCTGTGTTGATCCAGAATAAAAATGTAAGCTTGCTCTAATCAGTAGGTCCTAGAACCTGGCTTGAAATACACTTCCTACTTAACATGTAAATATTTGCTGAATGTAAATAATAGACTGAAATTGAAATATAACATAATTATTGTACATAAGTTCACTTATCTCCAGAGAAATGGATAACTGTGCTTCATTGTTAAGGTTATCATATTTTTTGGGAGTACTGTTTCATAGTTTTATGTATTGATGCTATGATTTCATCTAATTGCTCTTTATAATTATGATATAAAGAGACAAAAGCACTAATTTTTCAAAAGACAAAAAGTGAGGAAAAAAGAGTGAAGAATAAAGCTAGAGAATAAAACAACCATGTAAAACACAATTTTCCACATTAGCTTTTAGTTTTCTCAAAAAAAAACCTGTAGTATTTCTAGTCAGACCTTAATGGATTCAATTCTTTTTCGCCGTAAGTCAGCTTCTTCACTTCCTTCTTGTCCTTCGCAACTATCAGCTTCTTTCTATAAAAGAAGTAGAAAAGCTCACCACTTGGGATACAAACTTTAATCTCAGTGCAGAGCTCTGTGATAGACAATACAAATAAACTAACATCTAAAAATGTAAGCCAAGAAATTGCCAAAACTGTTAGCTTTCTTTCAAAGTTGCAAATGAAAACTTCATAATTATCAACTCCATGTACAATCAAATAAAAAATAAAAAAAGAATGATAAAAAACACACAATCATTTCATGGACCCTAATTTCACTGTTCTCTTAGAATTATTCTGTAATGAATGGTATTATACCTTTTAAATTCTATAAATCAGATTTACTTTTGCCTAGGTATAGTTTTCTGATCCCTGATTTTCATTGTCTACATCAGTTTTTGTTACTGAATTTTTAATCTTTTTATTTTTGGCTTTTTGAGACAGGGTCTCATTATGCAGTTTAGGCTTGGCACTTTGTAGCCCAGGCTGATCTCAAACTTGCAAGGATCTTCCTATCTCAGCCTTTTGAGTGCTGGGATTACAGGGGTGTGCCACTATGCCCAGAGACTGAATTTTTAATCTTAATGTAATATAATATCATCAATTACTTTTTATTTGTTTAGGGGTAGTTCTACTGGAAAAGAAATGTAGGGTCTCAAACATACTAGGCAAGTGCTCTGTTACTAAGCTATATCCCTAGGCCTCAATTACTCTGTAAGGAATTGTTAACTTACCTTTTCACCACGAAGTTTGGCTTTAATTTGCTGACGCTCATTGAAATTCTGTAGTCTTATTTGCCTCAGTCTTGCCAGATAAACCTACAAAAAAGGCACGTGACATATTCATTTAAAAGAAAAGCTATCAACATTTTTAATACTAAAAAATACTTTAATTTGAGGAAAAGGGTTAATCTAAAGACAAGAAATAAAAGTTCTGAAATTTGGTTAAAGGCAATATAATATTAGCTTCCAAGAGTTTAATTTAGAGCAATTTTTTCCTGAAAGGAAATGCATTATAATTACATGTTTTTAATTTTATCAAAAGAAAATAAATTGAATTTAGAAGACTGAATACAGTTATAGGGCAAAATTACAACACAGCACAATTATATTGTCAAAATAGAGTAAGCAATCCTTATAGACTCGCAAAATCTCCAAGTAATTGTTAAGAATTTAAACCATGCAAGAAAGGAAAGCAATAAACTCAAATTTTATGGCTGTGTGATGGAGGTAGCGAACATGCGGAAGCATACCTCTTCCTCTTTGTTTCTTGGCTTCCCTCCTCTTGAAGAGCTGGGCCTGCCTCCATACATAGCTGCCAGGTTTTGCAGGATTCCCTGTTCATCATTTAATGTACTAAGTTTAAAGAATAACTGGGGCTACATCATCAGTTTACCTAGGAATATCCATGTGGCACTTTAAAGAGGCATTCGAAATCCTTTATGGGTTCGATAAACCCTCAGTCAGTTTTCTTCTAAAAAGAGCCCATCCTTTCAAAGGGCCACTCTGTCTCTACACAGGTCTGTATATGCACATGTACTAACACACACATACACACATTCACACACGATTACTGCTGAACTCAGCGAGTATGTTGTATGTTAACTGTAAGATCTAAATCAAACTATTTGCTCTCAGGAATGTCCTGTAACTATACTGCCAGTGATGAACCCACTTGTTTTTAAAATATTATTAACATGAAATTACCTTACAGGAAATTAATATACTTTAATAAAACTACCAAGTTCTCAATTATCTACTTTCTCTTCCTTCAGCATGCAAGCATGCTTCAAGTTTCTTCTAACTTAAAAAATTTTTAGTTTCACTTCTTTGTCTGTTTATCAGGTTTTTTCTTTTTTTTTGTACACAACCTAGCACTTGCCAGGAAGGCGCTTATGCTGCTGAGCTAAATCCCTAGCCCTGTTGATCAGTTTTTTGAAATGTGCATTTATATTATTTTCTAAGATCATTGACGTCTTTACAAATGATTCACAAAGAGTTTTCTAGGCAATTTTCCACTAAAACTCAGCTTTCACTAAATTTGCTATACTTTTTTCTCCTAATAATATAAGTTCACTGCAGAAAATATATAAAATAAAGAAAGTATGAGCCATGCATAATTCTAACATTGAGAAACTTAAAATTCAGGACATCTTCCAAATTTTCTTTTATTCATATGTATGCAAACATGTATATTTTTATAGAAATTAGGATTTTATACAATTACCATGTTTTTCAGCTCACTTTAAATTGATTCATATTCAATTAATGCTTCTTAAAAACACTACTCTTAAATGACAATATACTATTTATAACAATCTACTAAATAAATCTTCTGTAATTAACACTTTGTCTCTCTTCTCTCTCAGTATTTGTTAACTCTCCTATATTCTTCTAATATTCACTATTTTTCAGTTTTTTTTTCTTTCTTGGTTCACTGCTCAATGTAAATATTCTCTAGTGTTTCATTCTCTAGCCCTCCTCATCCCAAGGCTTTAATATATACTGCCAAAAAGAGAGTGGGGTAGAAGAAAGAAAGGCCAAAGAAAAAAAGAATAAAAAGAAAAAAATGGAAACAGCTTTTGTAAATAAGAAGGGGAAGAGAGGTTGGAGGGGAGGGAAGAGGAATAGGAAAAAAAGAAGAAGCAAGGTATATCATGTCTAGGTACAAATTCTTTATGCTGAGTATTATTACTATGTATGTATAAGATATATCAATAATTCTAAAAATGAAAAAAATCTGAATCAACATATCAGACTACATTACAGGCTAAGTAGGAGTATAGCCAGAGTCCCGGACTTGGAGGCTGGCTTGGGCAACGTTAGCAAAACTGTCTCAAACAACAAAAGCAACAACAAACTCCAAACCTAACAGCTCCTCTTTTATGCAGCAAAAAGCTGTATCAACAATTTATAAGTCTGACTTTTCACACCATCCGTTTAATTTCTTTAATTACATAATTTTATCTCTTAGTTTCTGATCATGATCACCCATCCAAATCAGCAAGTTGGCTTATCCTTACCTCTATCACATACCGGATACAAATGATTGCCAAATTAACAATTCTATCTCCTAGTAAGTCTGTAACTCATGACAGTTTCTGCCTTGGCTCAGGCCTTCTTTTAATTCCTGGATTTCCAAATGTTTCCAAACTCATCTCCTTACCTTTAGTATCACATCATCTATATATTCTTACAATGTACTGGGAGTAATCTTTCTAAAATTTCTATTTCATATCAAATCCCATAAATCCCTCAGTGGTTTTTATTATCACTTGATTTAATCTATTCAGGTTACTTGGGATCTAGCCATTTCCTTGTTCAACTCTGCCACTGCTCAATCATAAAATTTTGATTTTTAGCCATGAAAACTATTTGTTATTTGTGTACAACTCTATGATGTCACTGCTCTTCTTAAAATGGCTAACTCTGGAAAGTTTTGCCACAGAATTCTTTAGTGAGTTAATTGTGCCTCCTCTGACCTGCCATGCCATTGTTTATATGCTGGCCATAGCAGCACTCATCAGAGTCTGTGACACTGCTGCAAGTGCAGTATGAAGTCTGTTTGTGCATGTTTTTGTCAGTGTCATATACACACAGATAACCGTAAATAGTTACTTAAACTTTCCAGATCTGGCAGAGTAGCATCTACCTCACAGATGTGACAGGAAAAAAAAAAAAAAACATTACTATATGAGTGAGTCCTGCCTTTTTGTCCTAACAAAAGGCTTTTTGTTCACTCCATTTCTTCTCTTTTTGAAGAAGGTCCTGATATTATCTTGTCAGTTATTTAAGCATTTCAGGTACAGGACAAAGAATTGAGCACGTGAAATAAAGAAATAAACAGGGAATGCCAGGCAAAGATACCAGCTGAACATTTAAAAGGTATGTAGATGTATCTGCAGAATTTCTGGAGAATAGATGGTAGCAAACTGAGTAACGCTAGAGACTGCATCTTCCTGTCATATTATGTGAGAAATAGAAGAATTTGAGTTACTGTGAAGTTAAAAAACAAACTTTCTTTAGCTTGAAATATTACAAACTTGCAAAAGATCTGTACAGTGAGATGTCCAAGTACTCTTCATCTGCTTCTTCCAACTTTGTGGATAACTATAACACGTTATCAAAACCATGAGACTGACACTGGTGTAAGCCAAGAGGCTTCACAAGTTATACATGCATACATTTGTAACTGTGTGCATGTGAATCCAAATAATTTTATCACATGTGCAACCTTCTGTAACCATACCACAATCAAGGCACTTACCTGTACCATTATCATGTTTTACAGTCACATATACCAGTATCATCTCTAATTGGTCAACCATAAAACTGTTCTCCATCTTTATAATTACATTTCATAAGCTCATACAATATAAGGCTTACTGAAATTAATTGTTTTAACTCTGTGTTACTGTCTTGTGGTCCATTCAAAGAACTGCATGAAATAGTTTTCTCCTTTTCATTGTTACTGAACAGCACTCATGATATGGATATGGTAGCATGGTCCACTCATTTACCTACTGAAGGACATTCAGGTGATTTCATGGTTTTGACTATTATGAATAAAGTTTCAGAAAACAATGAAAGGGACCAAAAAAAAAAAAACTGCAAAATAATGTAAGTGCGGTTATGACTATTCATGAATAAATTTTTAAGTGAAAAAAGGCCCTTTTTCGGTGGACTATATATACCCAAGTATACAATTACAGCCTATTGATATAGTAAAACCACTTTTGGTTTTAGAAGAAATCATCAGAGTGATTTGCACAGTCGACTGTAGCATTCTGTACCAATAATGTGTGGATGCACTAGTTTCTCCTGTCTTGTCAGCATTTTTTTCATGAGTTTGGTACATAGTCTTGCTAAGTTACTAAACTGTTCACGCTGAGCTCAAACTTGTGATCTTCAGGCATGTTCCACCAGGCTTTGCTTAGATAATTTGTTTTTTTTTTTTTTTTTTTTATTACTCCTTAGTGCTTATTACTTTCTTTGGGGGGGGGAAGAATACAGTCAAATATGGCAAAACAAAGCTGTCAGTCAATACCAAGGATAGACATAGCACATGGTGTAGAACAGAGTACAAGTTTATCAACAATGGTAATCAACGTTGTCCCTTGTTTCCTTAAAAAGAATTGTCTATCTCATTAGATATTATAAAGTTGGACAAAACAGTAGAGAACAAGACCAATAAAACTTAGGCATTGTAAACATTACAGGACTTCCAAAGAAGACAGTAGTCAAACCAGAACGGGTATCTTAGTGAATCTTATTGTCTTCAAAGTAGTTGCCTATGTCTTCAAACTTGATACTATCATATAGAATGGAACAGAGTCTAATCAGTCAAAACAAGATCGTGGGAGTACTACAGGACTTCAAAACAAGTTAATAGGAAATCAAAAAGAGTTACTATTTATATATCCTAATTTTTTTGAATTTTTTCTTTAACTAAGACAAACATAAGAAATGACTAAATAATTTTTTTTGAAACAATAAGGGGGAGATTGAGATAAAACAGGACATAACAAAATAACAATAGAGGTCACAGCATGACTGTTTTTAACATTGAATTTTAATACTTCTTTTACATGTTTTAGATATAAGTTCTTCATTGGATATGTGGTTTACAACAATTTCACCCATTCTGAAATGTGCATTTTCTTCCTCTTACCAGAGTCTTTTATACAGAAAGTCTTTCATTTTGATAAAGTCCATTTTAAGAAGTTTTCCTTTTGCAGTCCATGTTTTTCATGTTAAGTCCAAAAACTGCCTAGTCCTAGGTCATGAAAATTTCATTTTTTGCTAGAAGTTTTACAGTGTTGTGTTTCAAATTAATGCCTAAATTATTATTTTATGAGGTATGAGGTAAAGCTCAAGGTTCATTCATTTTATTTTATTTTTTTGTGGATGTCTACTTCCCCCAGTGATAATATTAAAAAGGCTTTATTCATTTTTTGAGCTGCTTTTACTCCTTTGTTAAAAGCCAATCAGGCAAATTGTTTGCACTCTCACTGTTTGAAAGTTTGTAACTTGAACAACTATTTCTAAGATGAGAATATGAAATCTATTAACTAGTGATTTCTTACTGTTTATTTTTAAAATTTTGTATTACATCTACCCTTTTTCTGTTTTTTTTTTTCTCCTTAAAAAAAAAAGCCAATCAGGCCTATCTGAATGGATGTGCGTCTGGGATCTCCATTCTGTCCCATTGATCTATGTGCTTTTATCACTAGTACTACACTATGATTACTGTAGTACAAGTCAAACTTAGGTGACAAAGAAGCATTTTTTGCATCTCTGCATAATTATCTTGCCTATTTTCAGGACAAATTCCATT